GATCTGGCTGATCAAGAGGAATTTATAGAGCGCCCCCATCTCTTCAGGAATTATTTAACGTCGCAGTAAGGATGACGATCACAGCCAGATTCACAATGAACTCTCAACCAGAAATGTTTATAGACGGTCTGGTAAGCGTCTCATAAAAGGCTGGCACACCCGGAGGAACTTCTATCAGCGCAGATGTGCCAAACAGGACAGCAGCCATCGCATGCGTGCACTACTCCCTGTGGGTTGGCATGGTGACCGTGACCCAGTGCTTCGACCAGGGCCCTTCAGGGGTACCGCCCTTTCTCCTTCCAGATGCTTCCGGGAAGATTGTCGTCTCTCAAGGTAGCGCGGTCACGACACCTCACCAAAAGAGAGGACTCTCAAGTTGGACTCACTTCCTCACGGTAAGAAGAGATTTAAGAGAGTAGATAAGGTAAGGGATCAACATACCTGGAGATAGCTGCCCCCAACCACAGATTTCTCACCAATTGAGCTGATGTTGCATTTCATGACCGGTCATGACCTCGGTAATACCCACAACGCAATGCAGTGCCACCTTAGTCCAATGCCACATAAGCATGCTCTCATCACCAATCAAACATTCCGCTGTAACCCACGGCATACACTGCCGTCATTAGCCTTCCGGTGCACCCCTCTCTACCCAGGGCGTGCACCTAGTGTAGCCTGACGTCACAAGTACCCACTGCGAAGAAGCATCATCAACGCACCAAGTCTGTATAACGCCAGCATGCCAAAGGTAAGTGGCGATCAAACCAGCTCCGATACCAAATTGCAAGGAACATGAGTATGGACGAAGCACAGAAATCCAGAATGCAAAATCACACTGAAGTCCAAGTATTCAAAGCCAAAGCAGATAGCACATGGAACCGAGTAACCATCCAATTGAGAATGATACAGAAGAATCGTGAGTCAATGTCTATGCCCATCAGGGCAACACCAACAGCATAACCCAAATGTATCACTCTCTTGTGAATGGCGCCAGGCGCCCTATCTACTCTACCGCCTATCCTACAACTACAGCAATGAACAGCAACCAGACAACTTGACTACCAGCGAGTGATGATGTCAACACCAATGCCGTATTCCACCATCACCAGGTACGTGTCATCTTCCCCACACTCTCCCTTGTTACCCACACAGCGCCCTTCACCTCCAAAGTACCACCTTCGCCCTCACCTCCCCTGCACCCTCATGCGGCCCAGGCTATGGCCGCCAGTGCCCTCTGTGCAGGCAGCGCCCTACTGCCTAGCGCTGGCCTGCTTGCTCTTGGCGCAGCACTGCCTTGCACAACGCAGCACACATGCATCCGCGCAGCGTGCCCGCAAGTGCCAGCATTGGCCAAGATCCCTGCTGTTTCACCCTGCTTGCCTATATCCCAATGCAGCATGTGGGCGGCCTCCCTTCAGCCTGCGTCCGGGACCCAGAGGCTGAAGCCTACCTGATACAGTTGGGGCCCCGGAGCAATGCAGTTGCGCCTCTCTTCTCAAGGCCTGCGGCCAGATTCAGATAGTGGGCCGATTTTCCCTTTGGCATTTCGGTCTCTCTACCCAGCATGCATTGTCGGCCTCACGTTCAAGTGCCCAGGGCCTAACTAACTCAGAGGCCCTGGGCATTTCAGCATTTGCTGAAATCCGAGACTCGGTGCACTCCAACCAACTGGCGTGCTGCAACTGTATAGACCCCACTTCGTGAAATGTTGGCCGAGAGGGCTCTTGTTGATTTGCTGGCCCGCCTTCACTTAGGGCGGGCACTAGGCTTGCTGGGGCCTTAGCCCAGAACATGTACATCATGGCAAGGCCCCTACTTGAGGGCTCAATCCTCACTCAAAGCTCTCTTACCCAGTTTTGTTCTGCTGTGTTCATCAGGTGTGTTTCCTGTCGACAAAGAATATGTACGCTTGAAACGATTTCACTGTATCAGGCCCCGGTCGCGGTTCGAGTTCCAGTCCCAGTTCCAATTGCAGTTGCAATCCCAGTCCTGTCTACCACAATTCTGAATCCCATCTACAGTCCTGTGCCTGGTAGGTCTTTAGGTCGTCAAAGGCAACTCCTGGTAAGATCCGTAGTGTCAGTCTACACAGTTAAGTCCAAAGCCAAAGGAATCGTCGTCCATTTGCTGAAGACGTCCATACTTATTCCGTGCATGCTTGCGATGGGAGTGATGTAGCACTAGTGTACAACCAAGTATCATGAGCAGATGTTCGAGTTGCTTAGTCGGCGGGGCCCGGCGCCATATCCTGTACAGAGACACATATTTGAAGAAGACATTCGGAGAGGGATGAAAGGCATGGGGGTAGTGGATTGAGCCCTCAAGTAGGGGCCTTGCCATGATGTACATGTTCTGGGCTAAGGCCCCGGCAAGCCTCGTGCCCGCCCTAAGTGAAGGCGGGCCAGCAAATCAACAAGAGCCCTCTGTGCCAACATTTCACGAAGTGGGGTCCATACAGTTGCAGCACACCAGTTGGTTGGAGTGCACCGAGTCTCGGATTTCAGCAAATGCTGAAAACCCAGGGCCTCTGAGTTAGTTAGGCCCTGGGTACTTGAACGTGAGGCCGACAATGCATGCTGGGTATAGAGGCCGAAAATGCCAAAGGGAAATCGGCCCACTATCTGAATCTGACCGCAGGCCTTGACAAAAGAGGTGCAACTGCATCCCCTGGGCCTCAACTGTATCGGGCCTGGGTTCAGCAACTGGGGCCCAAACGCAGGCTGAACGGAGGCAGCCCACACGCAACACTGGCATATAGGCAAGCAGGGCGAGTGGGCAGGGATCTTGGCCAATGCAGGCATTGCGGGCACGCTGCGCGAATGCATGTGTTCTGCGCTGTGCAGAGCTGCGCTGCGCTAAGGTGAAGCAGGCTAGCGCTAGGCGGTAGGGCGCTGCCTGCATGCAAGGCACTGGCGGCCATAGCCGGGCCGCATGAGGGTGCAGGAGAGGTGAAGGGCGAAGGTGGTCTTCGGAGGTGAAGGGCGCTGTGTGGGTACAAGGGAGACTGTGGGTGAAGAGGACAC